TAAAATCCATTAAAGAATCATCCATGCATCCTCCTAATTTATCACACCTAATTCCTCATCCTTCTCCTGAAGCAATATTTTCTTGTTTCTACCTTTGCCATGTGCTGCTTCCTCTGGCTTGAAACCTTTCTTTTCTAATACACGTATTCTTTAAATTACTGGGCTTCTCTGTGTAATTTTCCTTTTCCATTTCTGATCCCATGGAGTTTTGCATTTGCTACATTCTAGCATTTAATGAACTTCACTATTTGGATGTGACCCTATCTCCCCCAAGCCCAACAGTCCTCAGCAAAAGTGCTTCTCCCATATTTTTACAGGATTAGATGAGATCAAAGCAAAGGAATGGTGAACACAGAATTCCTTATGATAGCTAGGTCCCACAGGAGGAGGCCTACTTTTGATTTGATGGTGAGTTTGTGAGGGAAAAGTCACATATGTAATACCTTAATCAATAAAGAAAAAAAAAATAAATGAATAACGTTCTCTATTACTAAGTTATAGTAACTCGAAATTACTCACACGAGGGCCTAGTTGGTATCAATGACTCTCCAAAGGTTGCCCTTTGACCTTAAGCCGTCAGATGGCTAACGTTGAAATGGGTAACTAACTCCCTGGGCGTGATCTTTACATTGGGACTCATGGTCCCTTAGACATTTATTTCGATTGTTGAGCAGTTAGTTTCTTTCCGTTTTAGCAGACAACACTCATTATCCACCGGAATAAAATAATCCCTACAGCTGGTTACTAGGTGACATGAATCAAGGTTGCTCATTTTGGGTCCCTTCATCACCAACCACCAAAGATCCCGTATAAACTCAGCGCTGAGGTTTGCACGAGCATCCAAGGCGATGATTTAAGAAGTCAACACTACGCCTCCATCTTACCAGGCGTCCGTGGCTTTCCGAGGAATGGCCTGCGCGCTAACCGCCCTGCCCCGCTGCGACCCGGGGTCCAACCCCAGGCTCCAACCCCAGGCTCCGAGGCTGAGAGCCCCCAGCTCCGCGGAGGAAGGCGGTGGCCCGCGCCAGACCACGTGGACGCCGCGCTCCGGCGCTGGAAACCGTCCCCACGGCCTCCGCCAATGAGCTGAGCGGGCCGCGGGGCCCGCCCCGCCTCCGGTGACGTCACTATAACGCCCGGGGAGCGCCGGGAGGCGGGGCCGCCTGGTTTCCGCCCCCAGAGGTCCGGTGGCTGTCGGAGCGTCGCAGTCGCGCCTTTGCGAGTCTGGACGCCGGGGCCGCCTCCGTGTTGCCCGCAGCACCATGGCTTTCGTAACCAGGCAGTTTGTGCGCAGTGTGTCCTCTTCGTCCACGGCCTCAGCCACGGCGAAGAAGATCGTCATCAAGCACGTGGCGGTCATCGGCGGTGGGCTGATGGGCGCCGGCATCGCCCAGGTGAGCCGCCCCCAGGCAGCGCACCCCACTCCTTTGCTGCCCATCTGAGCTGAGAGCGCTGGCGGGCCGCGACTCGGCTGGGTGATCCGCGGAGAGGCCGGGGTCCGCGGGAGACCCGGGAATTGCCACCAGGCTCCTCCCCGGTGTGGTTGAAACGTCTTGCCTCTGGGCCTGTGAGTGGTCATTCCCCAAAGATACAGTGTCTTGGGGCCGAGCCTCAGTTTCCTCGTCTCTAAATTCCACCCGAAGAGGGCTGGGTGGAGCGTGCTCGCGAATGCACTTGGAACTGGCTCCTGCAGAGAGAAGATAGTGTTGTGGGTGCCCAAGGTTGAGACATAACTTGCTTGCTTGCTGCTTGGCTTACACCCGAATTGCTTCCAGAGACCTGCAACTTTGTAGAATTATACGGTCTTTGTAAGAGCAGTTTTCTGCTCTCCTAAAGGATCTCCTTTCAACCTCCCGTGTGTTTCTTTTGCTTGCTGGGTTACAAAGAATAATAATAATCATCACTTTTGTAGCACTTTGTAAAGTTACCTAGTAAGAGCTTGGGAGGCCCTGTTAGTCCACCAAATGCCATGCAAGGCAACTTTGACCTTTGACCTCGTGCCCTCTGTGCTGAGAACTGCAAGTTTTAGGGACCTGGAGAAAGTGGGAGGAGAAGACAGAGGGGATGAGGGCCTCCAGTCTCAATGTCCATCTTCAAGACTGCCATGTTCCAGCCTAACTGTGGCTCAAGGTCAGTTGTGCAATTGATTACCTGGATACTGTGATATTTGCTGCTGCTCCCCCCACCCCCCCAACCCCGTAAATTCCTCATATTGGAGAACCTTGATTCCCATGTCTTAGTTGATTATATATTCTTATCATTTCAGCCCTTTGCACCTTATATTGTTGAAGCAGAGACCATTATCTAATTTTTCTTAGTGGAGTACTCAAATGCAGTGGTTACAGTCATGAAAGAGTTTGTTTTTCAGTGTCCTCCCAGTCAAGTCCACATTTCCATGCTTGCTCTTTAAAAATCATTGACTATTATTATGTATCTTAATTTTCCTCTCCCTGCAAAGTTTTTGCAACATATTAATTTGATTGCATTGTCTCCTAAAATCTGTATTTCATTGACATTTTATCCTTCTAACTTCTTAAAGTTTTCCATTTCTCTCTTCCAAGATAATGTGTTTGGACATACATTTCCCTTTTTATTGTGTGGATGCCTTGGCTGCTAGGTTATGGTGTCCCCTTAATCTGTGTTCTACATGAGATGTGAGGAATAAGTCCCTTTAACCTAAATGTTACAAATATCATACTATATTATAGGATATTCAGGCTTGAGCACACTTGTATTCCCTTGCTCCACCAAAAATCTCCCACAGCTGTGAGAGTGAGATTTGTTGTGGGAAGATATAAAATGGGAAGATATAAAATAATGTATTTGTTTAAAAACAAGACATTAGGGCCGAAACCGGTTTGGCTCAGTGGATAGAGCGTCGGCATGCGGATTGAAAGGTCCCAGGTTCGATTCCGGTCAAGGGCATGTACCTGGGTTGCGGGCACATCCCCAGTAGGAGATGTGCAGGAGGCAGCTGATCGATGTTTCTCTCTCATCGATGTTTCTAACTCTCTATCTCTCTCCCTTCTTCTCTGTAAAAAATCAATAAAAAATATATTTTAAAAAAACACACAAAACAAAACAAAACAAAAAAACAAGACATTAGGGCCTTAAGCCTACCATCTGTCTATATTTATAAAAGCCTAAGTGACCATTACGACCAGTTGACCTCTCAACTGGTCACTATGAGGACGCCCTGACCACCAAGGGCAGATGCTCAACACAGGAGCTGCCCCCTGGTGGTCAGTGCGCTCCCACAGCTAACTTCCCGCAGCCAGCCAACCTCCCTCGGTCCCTCCCGGCTGGCTGGCCCCAATTGGCCCCAGTGGGGACTGGGCAACAAGGCCCCGATTGGCCCCAATTGCCAGCCAGACCAGGGAACCCCACCCGTGCACGAATTTGTGCACTGGGCCTCTAATACCAATATAGGAAACACATCCAGAAACTGTTGTTAATGGTGACTTGAAGACATCAGTGGAAGAGGATTAGAAACTAAGTAGAAAGCATTGTTTCAGGTTGCTCAGCTCTTAGAATGCTGTATCCATTATTGTCCAGAAAAGGGTGTTATGCTGCACAATCATGCCCAGAGGTAGCACCTAAAATTATGGGTACAGTATGGGAGCTTTCATCTCAGAAAGCGGGGAGGAGGTTGACATTGATGGGAACACAGACTTGAATAGTTGGACCAGGGGAGTGAGTGCGTTTTGAAATTTAAGGGGGGTAGGGGGAAGAGCTGTTTATCCCACAGGTTGGAAATACAATGGACTGTCATTCCAAAAGTTGAAATAGTGGACAGCCTTAAGGGTAAGGAGTTCCGTTCTTACAGAACAAGGTTTACAACAGCCTCAGTCACTTTAGATGAAGGCTCTAATCCTGTGGAGGGGAACCATGCTTTCCTGCAGAAATCTCTGTGCTACTCTCAGCCTGTAGGTTGGTTGGTTTCAGCAGTTTAACTGATCCATTTTGCACTCCACCTTCAGGCTTGCAGTTCTAAGCAGTATTGCTTCATTCTTCATGCTCCTTGACCTACAGCTTTTAGTAGAGGGTGAATCTGTTCTACTTATTAAGTGCCACAGAAAAGTAGTTGATGTGTTTGACTGGAGATTGGCTCCAGTTCAGCATGGGAAATTGGATGGCCTATATGCTGGCTCTGCCTCACGTTGGCTGTCTTAACATGGGAAAGTTACTTAACCTCTGTGCTTACTAATCTCTAAACTAGGACTAATACTAGCACTAGCCTCATAGGAGAATCTAGAGGATTGAATGAATTAGCACAAGTTGGGCTCTTAGCACAGTGCCTGGCACCTAGTAAGAGCTCACAAAAGCTTAGCTGCCTTTATGATTATTATCTTCATTGCTTGTCCTTTTGTCCTTCTCCCCTCATACCATCTCACGTAGTTGCTGCTAAGATAGGCCTGTAATGTTTAGATGGAGAATATTGGTTGTGAATCTGTTGCATCTCACTTAATCTTGATGGCAAATGCCAGTTGTCCAGGGACCTCTGAAAAGAGAGAAGGCACTTTTGGTCCTCTCCTATTGTATTGTTAATCCTCATACAGCTTTTTTTTTCTTTTTAATTCTCACCTGAGAATATGCTTAGAGAGAGAGAGAGAAAGAGAGAGAGACACCAATGTGTGAGGGGATGACGTTGAATGATTCTCTCTCATCATCGATGTTTCTGTCTCTCCCTCTCCCTTCCTCTCTAAAATCAATAAAAAACTAACAAACAAAAAAACACAAGCACAAACTAGCATTTAAGGTAGGCTATTAAGTCACATTGAGCTTCACTCTCCTGAACTCTTTCTGAAGTAGCTTTAATTTTAATCAAGGTGTAGTTCTGTTTACAATCTTTTTTGTTTCCTTTTTATTGAATTCATTGGGGTGATACTGGTTAACAAAATTACACAGGTTTCAGGTGCACAATTCTGTAACATCATCATACAATGTATTGTGTGTTCACCACCCCAAGTCAAGTCTCCGTTCACCATTTATCCCTTCTATAACCTCCTCCACCTCCCCATAACCCTTCCCTCCAGCAATCACCACACTGTTGTCTGTGTCAATAATATTTATTTATTTATCATTTTTTCTATAATTCCAGTTTATGCTGAGTAGCATGGAAAAAATTAAACAGATTTTGTGGGAGCCTGACACATTTCTTGAACAGTTAAGCAATTTAAGACAAGTGAGGTCTGTGCTTAATTACAATTGATCAGTGCACAGGTCATTTGTACATATGTATTCTCCAAGGGTGTCTACTTTGCCTGTCATTTGGTTTGTTTGTTTTAAATTTTAAAAATTTGCTTAGGCTGCAGGTTAATATTTAAGTCAGGCTAACTTGTTTTTGCCCATTATACACTTCTGACTTAGTTCTGATTGCCAATTTGTCTTTAGCTGGATACTAGGGCTGGCAAAGCTTACAGCATCAAATGACCCTTGAGTGGGGATCAGGTTGTTTTTTGCTTTATAAAGGAGGAAAAAAAGGGAAGAAAGGTACTAGCTGTGCTTTCCTTCAGTTTATAGAATGAGTTCTTTGTAAGGTTTTCTTGTACATTGCCTTTTTTCATATAGGGAGCCCAGAGAGCTTGTAGCTTTCATTAAGTCACTGGTAAGGAGTCGGTGAGTTCCCTGGGCATGGAATTCCTGAGGCTGGATTTCTCAAGGCCTCAGTACAAACTTCCTTTTAGTGCTCACACTTCTTGGAGGAGGTGAGAAAGTTTGCAAAGTCTTGAAGGGGGTTGGATCTAGGTTCTTCTCACCCAAAACTTTTCTTTCTTTCTTTCTTTTTTTTTTGTTCCCTCTTAAAAAGCAAAAAGTGCACATTTCTTCTGCGGAGAGCTCCTTAGGCTGTTAAACAAAAGAAGGCAGAGGGGAACATTCTCAGCTACAGAGGAACATTTTCCTGACATTTGTGATGCTTGATGAGGACTCAGATGGACCCAAAAGCTTCTCCCAGCCACTGAATTTGTTCACCGTTCTCTTCTCTGCCCCAGCTCTGAATTTTCTGATGCCAAATAGAAGAGGGATCAGAGTTGTTCTGTATTTTGTCTGTTTTGCAGTGAGTTCATCTCTGTTGAAATTTGCTTGAAAACAGTGCAGTGGCCTGGAAGAGGTTTTGGGATCACAGGAGATGGACACAATCTCTTCTTTTGAATGTTCTTATGGAGGGAATATTTTTATTCCCAGGTGTTAACTTCTCCTCAAGGGTATGGGATATGTTTGTCATGACATTCTTCCCTCACTTCCTGTATTGTTGCTCACGTCTTCATTGGGCTGTTCTCTGCTCTTGGTGACATACTGGGACAGTAAACCAGCTCCTGTCAGCGTCTTAGTTCTTGGACTTGGGGAGGGGCTGACAAGCATAAAAAGAATGCCGCGGAATACCTTTGGACATTGTAGAGCAGAAATGACACCTCAGTCAGGTTTGGGGTATTCTCTGCCATGTGCTAGATCCAGCCTCACTGTTACTTGTCCTTGAGTTTCTAATGACCTTTCCTCCCCCTTCTCTCCTCTCCCATATCTGCCTTAGGCACACCCCTCACTGCCCAGCTCTCCTGGAAGATAATGCTGCTGCTCTCTGTTCTGTGTCTCCCCTGGGTTATGCTAATGATGCGGTGGGATAGTTGCTGGTGAGTGGTGGTCCAGTGCTTGAAACTGAGCAGGCTGTGAGGTGCCTGCTGGAGTGTGGATCCCAGCCCTTCCTCTTCTAGCTGTGGGAACCTTGGGCAAGTCATTTCACCCCTCTCTGCCTCTATCCCTCACCTGGGAATTCATATACTTGCTTTCACAATGTGATGACAGTTAAATGAGCTAAGTGCTCAGAGTCATACTAGTGTGTTCAATGGTAATTGTTCAATAAATGCTTTTATATAGCTCCCTCAGATCTAATCTGGTGTTGACTTCTCTTATTTTAGATTCTTTTAACTATCTTGGAAGGTATTTGATAAGAAGATATGGGGAGATCCAACAATTCTAAAGGTTTTTAAGACTATGTGGATTGTCGAGAAAAAATCTTAGTGCTCCATATAGACATTTTTGGGTATTACAGTGACTTCATAAAAGCATTTACAACAGAGCCTGGAACTTTAAAAATTCTACAAATGTAACACTTTATTCCATTCAAAGTAATGTGACCATTATAATAATCACTCCTGCAGAGATGGTATTGGGGTCAAGGGTCAGAGGCAGAGCTGGGGCTGGGACTCTGGTCTCTCAACTCCTGTTCTGCGGGCTAGAGATCCCAGAGGCTGAGATAACCACAGCTGTGCCTGCACCTCTGGCCTCTGCTTTCTTATGGGGAGATGTGGCCTCTGCGGACAAGGGGATCCTTCGTGGCTATCTGGAATCAACAGATACCAGCTAGACTCGAAGTTAGGTCATCTCCATTGGGGATGCAGGGATGCTCTGCTGCCATCTTTCTGCCAGTAGACTCCAAGTCAGTTACCAAAACTCAGTTCATCATGTTCCCTCTAACTTCTCCAGAGAGTGTCCTCCTCTTATCAGTACCATTGTTGTTCTTCCAGCCACATGCACTCTGAAGATAGGGTCGTGGTCAGATAGGGTTGAGTGTTGACCTATGACCCACACTGAAAAAGATTGTGAGGCTCTCCTCCATGAGGAGGGTCTCCCCTGGGCTCTCCTTTGTGATTTCTGGACCAGGCATTGTTACCTGGATTCTTGTGGGAGCCTCTTAATTAGTCCTTTCACTAAAACTCCACTCACCCTAACAAACATTGCATATTAATCGTCCTAGAGAGCAGTTTGTATTCACAGCTCTCTTCTCTACCCAGAAAGTTTCCATCATGGCAGCATCTTTCAGATATTCTTAAATATAACTAAGACTTGATTGATGCCATCAACATGTCCTATTATCCCTTTTTTTCCAGAATTTGTGGGAGAGTCCTGGAAGAGAAGTTATTTTCTCTACTTTATCAAACCCAGATGCTTATTGAATTTTTTGAAAAAATATGTATTTAGCCCGGGCTGGTTTGGCTCAGTGGTTGGAGTGTCGGCCCGTGCACTGGAGGGTCATAGGTTCGATTCCTGGTCAAGGACACGTTCCTGAGTTGCAGATTCCCAGTCCCGGTCAGTCAAGGCACATTATCTTGGCTTTTTAGAAATACTTTTTGAAATATAAAAATCTAAGTTTTTATAAATAGGCCAGCCAATGAATTCAACTGTTTTAAGAATAAGCTAGCTGGCTCTAGTGGTAAATGGTGGTTGAAAGCCTCAACAGAATGCCTTTTTCTGATTGTTCAAGTTGGTGAAGATAACTCGTGATGATGGCAGAGTTCATGGTATTACACAGACAGGGATAATTATAAACCCAGAATTGCCAGCTCTGAGAGATGTACCTGATTTATGGCTTCTCTCCCTAGATTAAATCATGAGAACCCAAAGCCAGGCCTTGTTGGCAAGGCACAGGAGCCTCGGGCACAGCCAGCGTGGGCAGCACTGATTACATGTACTTATTCTGGGGATCAGGAGGCAGTTGGAACTCCACTGTTCTTACAAATTCACCATTCAGCCTGGCCCGCATGGCTCAGTGGTTCAGCGTTGACCTATGACCCAGGAGGTCACGGTTTGATTCCCAATCAGGGTACATGCCTGGGTTGCAGGCTTCATCCCCAGTGTGGGACATGCAGGAGACAGCCAATCAGTGATTCTCTGACATCATTGATGTTTCTGTCTTTATCACCCTCTCCCTTACTCTCTGAAATCAATAAAAATATATATTTTTAAAAATTCACCATTCAGGCTATGCTTCAGAGAAGCTGCTTCCAATCTGGTGATATGTTTGCTTCTGCTGGGCGTGTTTACTTGGCCCTGGGGCTAGAGTACTCTGGCTTTGACAAGTGTGCTATTCACTGGGCCTATTTTTACAGCTCTGAAGCACCCTTGTCTAAAAATATTTCTCTCTGGCTAAGCATGTCTTCCACCGAGGCTAGAGAAGTCATGGAGCTGAGGACATAACCTTCAAATAAAATTGTTTACATTGCAGGATTGCTTGTCTCGAGGACTTACAGTGTGTAGGTCACTATCATAGAGAACAAGAGTTCTCAATGGATTGATTTAAATCATGGTCACTCAAAGTGCCAGCAAGAGTCTTCCTTACTTATTGTAAAAATAACATGTTTATGGGACCAGGAAAAGAGTCCTGTTAACTTTTTGTGGTCCTCTCTTCCACTGCCTTCTCATTCTCGGAAAGTTGGAATAAATCAGGTGGCACTGTTGCGTAATTCAGGAATGAGTACAGAATCCTTGCATCCAGGACACATGAAATTCATTCCTAAATAAGAACCCTCAAGAAAATATGTTCAGAGAAAAAACTAAGATGGCGGCATAGATAAACACCGGGAAATTTCTGCTTCCCACAACAATCGATAAATGCATCAGAAACACAAGGTGGACATCATCCAGCGCTACAGGAGGGCTGGCTGAGTGTAAATTCTACAACTAGAAGGAGAGAAAAGCACACTGCGAGCGGGAGGAGCTGCGGAGGTGGCGTGCAGAGGTACGGGGGCTCGCGCGCGGAAAGGGTCTGGCACCTGAGGACGCGGCTGTCTTTTTGAATCCGGAGGGAGACACAAGCTCCCGACGGCTCTGAAATCCGGTTCCGGGAAGTCTCTGGGGACCCAGGGCTCATACGGGGAAATACTGGACTGTCTGGCAGCGGGCGAGCTTGAGAGCAGCTTTTCCTCAGAGGTGCTTGCAGCCGTTGCCGGGACACTGGGACTCACGACTCCTTAGGGCAGGGCTGAGGCTCCGCCATAGCTGCTTTCTCAGCCCTTTGATTCCTTGAGACCCCACCCCGCCCAGGCTGCGGCAGAGGCTTTTGCATATGAATGCCCCGGCCATTTGCAACCTGTAATTACCTAACCGCAGCCGGGCCAGATAGACTCAGAGCTTCCAAGACAAGGCCCAGGCCCCACAGCGGCTTGCATTGCTACACAGCTGAGCATCATCAGGGCAGCTGATTCTCGCTGCCAATTGCCCTGGAGGTCAATTCCTCCCAGTGATCCTACAACAACCAAGGCATAGCTACAACAAGACTGTGCACAAAGCCCACGAGGGGGTGCACCAAGAGTGTCCACCCCAGGTAACTGGGGAGGCTGAGCTACTGGGCCCTACAGGACACCTAGCACACAAAGCCACTCTATCAACACAGGGAAGCAACCAAAATGCGGAGACAAAGAAACAGGTCACAAATGGCAGAAATGGAGGAAAGCAAACGATTGGATATAGAGTTTAAGGCCACGGTTATAAGGTTTTTCAAGAATTTTATGGAAACCGCCGATAAATTTAATGAATCCCTCAATAAGTATAGGGAGACCATGGAGGACATGAAAAAGGACCAACTAGAAATTAAGCATACACTGACTGAAATAAAGAATAATTTACAGAGATCCAGCAGCAGAAAAGAGGATCCCAAGAATCAAGTCAAAGATTTGAAATACAAAGAAACAAAAAATACCCAACCGAAAAAGAAAAAAGAAAAGAGATTCCAAAAATATGAAGATAGTGTAAGGAACCTCTGGGACAACTTCAAGCGTACCAACATCAGAATTATAGGGGTACCAGAAGGAGAGAGAGGGCAAGATATTGAAAACCTATTTGAAGAAATAATGACAGAAAACTTCCCCTACCTGGTGAAAGAAATGGACTTACAAGTCCAGGAAGCGCAGAGAACCCCAAACAAAAGGAATCCAAGGAGGACCACACCAAGACACATCATAATTAAAATGCCAAGAGCAAAAGATAAAGAGAGAATCTTAAAAGCAGCAAGAGAAAGACAGTCAGTTACCTACAAGGGAGTACCCATACGACTGTCAGCTGATTTCTCAACAGAAACCATGCAGGCCAGAAGAGAGTGGCAAGAAATATTCAAAGTGATGAATAGCAAGAACCTGCAACCAAGATTACTTTATCCAGCAAAGCTATCATTCAGAATAGAAGGTCAGATAAAGAGCTTCACGGATAAGAAAAAGCTAAAGGAGTTCATCACCACCAAACCAGCATTATATGAAATGCTGAAAGGTATTCTTTAAGAAGAGGAAGAAGAAAAAGGAACTCTTACCATTTGCCACAGCATGGATGGAACTTGAGAGCGGATAAATACCACAGGATCTCACTCATTTGTGGAATATAATGAACAACATAAGCTGATGAACAAGGACTGATCCAGAGACGGAGAGGCATTGATTGGACTGTCGGGACTTGGAGGGAAGGTAGGGGAGGGTGGGGGTAAGGGGGAAAGATCAACCAAAGGACTTATATGCAAGCATATAGGCCTAACCAATGGACATGGACAACGGGGGGGTGAGGGCATGAGCGGGGGTGGGGGGCGTGGGGGGGTAGAGGGTAACGTGGGGACAAGGACACATATGTAATATCTTAATCAATAAAAATATATTAAAAAAAAAAAAAAAAAAAAAAAAAAAAAGAAAATATGTTCACATTGTGAGGGGAGGCCCTCAGTTACTCTGATGAAAACAGCCCTGGATCGTCAAAAGATCTAGTCTCACGTTGGCTTTTCCACCAGATACATTTGTTGTCATCATTTCCTGAGGGCCTATCACTGCCAGGCGTGGTCTAGGTACTCAGCAGACCAAGATGAATGACATTTAGTCAGGAGCCTGAAGTAAAAGAGTAGGGGAGATGGCACTTAAGCAAGCGATCGTACGCATTATGATGGGTGCAGTGGTAAGGTTATGTGGGGGTATTATAGGAGCATGAGGCACACAGAGCCTGGGCTAGGAGGACCTTGGAGTAAGGAAGCTTAGTATCTAGGGGTGATACTCAGGCATATTTAATGAGGTGAAGTTGAGGAGAAGGTGTAGACAGTGCAAAGGCCTGGAGGTGAGAGGCGTAGCAGATGCAGGG